GGGACGCGAGCCGAGGATGGAAACGGCGCTGCGACGACGGGGTAAAGCGACTGCCTGCCGGCGCCGTCGAAAGTTGAGATTGGACGAGTCGCGGAACTACGTGAGACCATTCCGAGATCCGCTGCCGATACGGGACTGCGCGGCGGTGTTTCCCGGCAAATCTTTATCGTCCCTGTTAGGCAGAGAGAGAGAGAGAGAGAGAGAGAGAGAGAGAGAGATTTTTGTCGCGTGCTCGACTCGGGAATACCAGGTTCTGTTTCCTCTTGTCTTTCCGCGCCGTGTTTTCAGCCGTGTCGCCATCGATTTTCGCTTGGCGCGCAACAACGCGGTGAGGGGATGCGTGAGGGCGATAGTTTTAATATGTCGGGGCAAATGGCAAATTACGTTATAATTATCCGGGGAAATGTGCCTCGAGCGAGTCGAAAATAACGTCTCTCTTTCTCTCTCTCTCTCTCTCTCTGGATGAAATCGAAGATCGTTGCGCTCGACAACTCAACGCGATTGCGAGGACGAAAAATTTTATTCATCGACCAATACCACCTCGTCGTTGAAAGGCGATGCAGCAAGATGATTCTGCGTTGTTCCGAGAGGACAATATGCAGAGCTATAACAGACGCGCACGAGAAGCTTTCATTGTTTAACGACGATACGCGCGTGCGGGCCGATAAATTTGCATCTAGATGCAAAACCGAGTCCGACTGAGCTAAACGTGCGGAAAAAAATAAATTGAGAAAATAGATTCTGTTATACGCGGAGCTCGGGAAAAATGTTGGCGGCAGAATGAAAGAGAGGGAGAGAGAGAGAGAGAGAGAGAGAGAGAGAGAAAGAGAGAAAGAGAGAGAGAGAGAAAGAGGAGGGAGGGGAGGGCCGTGTCGCGTCGTCGGAAAATCCCTTCCTCGACGCGACGCGGCGGCTGGAAGATCATTTTCGCGCGAATTTCGCGCGCGTCGCAGCGGAAAATGCCACGTCTCTCCGCGATGAGAGCGCAAATATTGTACTCGCGCATCGCGTACACGCCGAGCGACATCGAGCTCTTTGTTTTCGAATTGCAACATCGCGCGGCAGAAGTGACATCGTCCGAGTCCTCGCTGTTGCGCGATGGGTGTGTATCGGGTGCGCACGCGCGCGAATAAAAACGCTCAATCCGCCGAGATGATGAAAATGTAAATTCCACGTCCGAGCACACTCACCCCGCCTTCCTTCGGGATCATTCGCGGAGAGCCTCGCTTGCGGGATTTGCTCTCGATCGACAGAACGCATTTTATATTCCGCGCTGTCGCCCGGCCGCAATAAATTGAGCGGTAAAAAAGAGAAAGGAGAGAGAGAGAGAGAGAGAGAGAGAGAGAGAGAAGAAGAGAGGGATAGGAGATGTCGAGCTCGGAGCGGGTAGCGCGTAAGCCGGCTGAAGTTTACCTGAGAATTATTGCGGGGTGTGCGTTGTCGCTTAAAATCGAATTTATGGCTACGCCGTAATGAAATACGCTGCTCGGCGGATAAAAAGTTTGATTATACCCCTAACGCGAAGTTGGGTGAAAGTTAAGCGAGCGGACTTGTGTTAAAGATATCAAGGGGAGGAGCAGAGTCTACAATGTTAGCCGCGACGGGCGAAGGAGGATATTGTTTTTATATTTCCGGATCGCGCGTCTTTCTCTCTCTCTCTCTCTCTCTCTCTCTCTCTCTCTCTCTCTCTCTCTCTCTCTCTCTGTGTGTGTGTCGTCCGCCGCTCCCGCGCTCTTCTCGCCGTCGTCCCTTACGCGATCGGACTCGATTTCGCCGGTCGCGGAATTAATCCGGCGAATAATTCGCAAATATTTGGCCAGCCGCGTCGAGAGTCGAATAAATATCGCGGAAAAATACTTGGGAAAGCGCGCTTTGCGTTCGGGGAATCAATCGCAAACGCGCCGTGCATCGACAGCGAATTATCCGGAAAAGCCGCACGCTCTCGCGCGTTTTACGATGACAATCCATCGGCATTACGGCCGACATGCATGCGGATATATCGGTACGCGAAAATCGAAAATGAACGCTTTAACGGGCCGCTTTGGCGCCGAGTTGCTTTTCATTTACCCCTTACGGGGGAGGAGGTTATTTGTTGGAGCACCGCGACAGCGCCGTCGGATCGCGTTTGTATACATCGCTCGCTTCACGCATCGATGATCATTTCGTCGCCCGTATTTCTAGGTGCCCCCTCCCCCTCTCTCTCTCTCTCTCTCTCTCTCTCTCAGCGACGATTTAATCCGCGACGATAGATCCAGCGGGATTTAGGTTGTCGCCTTACAAGCCGCACCCCCGAGCACGCACGCTTCCTCCCCCGCAATTTTTCTTCCCGCCCAGCTGGGGCTACCGCGACGCGCGAGTTCGACAGAAGAATTTAGGTCGATCCCCCCTCGGCTTCGTCATCGTCGTCGCCCCCATCGCGGAAATATAATCGGATCCGCGCAGCCGGTGCTTTCGTCACGAGCGAAATGCCTCCGGCTGAAAATGGCGCTTTCGCGCTCGCGCTTTCGGACGCGTCCGTCGCTACGGGCGAATTGGATCCGATTGACTGCCGCTGAAGCACTGATTACGCGTCGCAATTGATTCGATCAGCGTCTCGACGTCTGTCTCGACGAAAGCCGACGCGCACGGCATAATATAACGCGGTCCGTTCGTGCTGCTCGGCCGCTTCGAAAGCGAAGCTTTTAACTCCCGAAGACGATCCCCGTACATCTGATGCAGGCTCGCGGATCTCATAAATTCTCTCCGTTCCATAAAACATAGGGACCCGTCGGCCCTTTTGCCACCCTATTACGAGATGTGTCCGCTGTGGTGGTTTCTGCAAAGCCAACAAATCCCTTCGAGAATTGCTCTCTCCAGACACACACACACACACACACACACACACTCGCGATCGGTAAGTTATTTTATTAATATGAAAGCGCGAAAGGTGACGTCACAGCTGCAACTCTCTCTCGTTTCGTCTCGGGTCCCTTCTCCAGTTATCCAGTGATCGGGATAAATAATATTATTATTACGGTGATATTATCACGATAATATCGTTACAGCGAGCGCCGTGGAGCGCCGGACGGCGCGGTGCACTTAGTGAATTATAATTGCGCAATAATACACAAGCGCAAATTACAATTATGATGTAATTATAATACAAGCGATTACGCGAGTCGCTGTAATAACTATTACCGTAACAATAATATCAATATTTGCTGCGATCACCGAATAACATCCCCCGCAAGCGGGAGTGAATCCAAGCGAGAGAACGCGACACCCGCCGCCCTTCTCGTCGCTTGTCCCCGTCTCGAAATTTTCCCGAATGCTCGAGACGCTCGGGGCGATTGTCTAAAAAAAAAAGAGGGAAGTTACGGGCAAGGCGACACTTTTAAATTTTCTTCACGACGCGGAGCTGTCGGCCGGGCGGATCCCCGCGATCCCCTCGCGTTAGAGAAGAGAAAGCGACGCGCCGCGCTCAAGGCGCAGTCGAAGGAAAGTTCGTGAGAAAGGTAGGAGTGTCGTCGTCGTCATCGTCGAGGAAAGTCCAGAGTGATGCTCGTCAAAAGAGGAAGAACGAGACAGGGAGAGAGAGAGAGAGAGAGAGAGAGAGAGAGAGGGAGGGAAAGAGAGAGAATCTCGCGCTTGTCTGACACAATGAACGAACACAATCGTCGTAACGCCTGCTCGAGAAGGCACTTCTTCCTCTCTCCCCTCTCCCTCCCTCCCTCTCTCGCCTTTCCTGTCCTCTTCGGTGCGCAGTTCGCGGTTCGCGATACGCTCTCGTAACTCGCTCGTCCCGCGTCGACTAATTCTCTTCTTTTGTCCCTCCTCCCTCTCCTCCCTCCCTTTTAATACTCGCGAATTCGCCGGCACCTCGCGCTCGCTGCTGTTTACACGAGTAAGAGAGAGAGAGAGAGAGAGAGAGGGGGGAGAAGCGGAGTAGAGGGCGAGCGAGCTAACTCGTTTTGCTCGCGGAAATTCGAGCCAAAACTCCAGCCGAAGTTTTCGGATTCGCCGCCGCTTCGGCCGTCGGCCGAACTCTCTCGCCGGCGTCGGCGCGGGCCTCTCCGATCTTGAATGCTTTTTAACGAGCATCATTAGTAACTTCGGTAACGTAACGCTCGCGCGCAATCGTAATTAATTCGCGGAGCACTCGTCCTCGCTGCGGGATCCAGGCCGCGTCGATGAAGAGAGAACTCGCGGAGAGTTGCCTGATGAGGGAATGCTTCATTGCCCTTTGCAGCAGTCCTTGCTTCTTCCCCTCTCTCTCCCCCTCCCCCTCCGCTAAATCCGGTTGCTCGCGCTCACGTCTCGGAGTCGTTATTAATTAACTTGGTCTTGTCGCAAGCGAGACTACTCGCATAAAGAGCGCTGCGCGCTCCTCGCAAGACCTCGCGTCAACGATCTCGGGAGTGACGCAAGTCGCGCAAAGTGTTGCCGTGCGTCTTCGATTCTTACAGTCGCGAAATATTGGGTCTATGTATAATTCCGTAGCGAAAACCGAATAAATTCCAAACGCAAAATATTTAGCAAAAAAAGCGATCTTAATCAACTGAATATGTTCCATTCTGTTCAATGACTTTCTGCCATCTCTCCACGAGCTTCATTATCCCACTTTCATAGAAATTGTGAGATCTTTGAGCAAAGAAGTCATCCAAGTGATTTTTGAGGACGTCCAGGGAACTGAAGGTTTTATTATTCAAATTGTTCTGTAGCACCCGGAACAAGAGATAGTCTAGAGGTGCAAGGTCCGGACTATACGGTGGGTGCACCAAAACATCCCACCCAAACCACAATAACTTTTGCCGGGTCATCAGAGAAAGGTGTGGTCTAGCATTGTCCTGGAACACAACGCACTTTCTGTTCGCCAATTCAGGCCGCTTCTGATCGATTGCTCGCTTTAATTTGGCCTGTTGTGAGCAGTAATTGGTCGAATCAATCGTTTTGTTGGGTGGCAGCAGTTCATAATAGACGATTCCTTTCCAATCCCATCAGATACAGAACATTACCTTCTTCGGGTGTAATCCAGCCTTTGCGATCATCTGAGCAGCCTTCCCGCGCCTCCACCGTGATCTTTTCCGACTGACATTGTTGTAGACAATCCACTTTTCATCGCCAGTGATCATCCGCTTTAAAAATAGTTCGTTTTGGTGGCGTTTGAGCAGCAAATCGCAAGCTGAAATTCGGTCCGTTAAATTCTTTTCGCTCAGTTCGTGCTGCACCCAAACATCAAGCTTATTTACCATCCTAAGCTTCCGTATGTGTCTCGAAAGTCAGTTGATTGGTCAATGTTGAGGTTATGTCCGATCTCTGTAGTCGTCAAATGCCGGTCGGAGTCGATTAAAGCCTTGATTTGATCGACATCAGTAGTGACTGGCCGACCAGAGCGAGGAGCATCTTGGAGATCAAAATCTCCGCAACGAAATTTTGCAAACCACTTCCGACACACACTTTCGCTTACGGCATTCTCTCCGTACACGGCGCATATCTTTTTGTGAGTTTGCCACGCGTTTTTGCCTTTTCGGAAATAAAAAAGCGAAATGCACTGAAAATACACGTTTTTTCTTTCCATGTTCAAAATATAATTAAACTTCGTATATGTCACGGATCTCGATGAATAAATACTTTCTTAAAATGTTAGCACAAATTTCAGCTTTCATTTAATGCACGACACTTCATACGTTTGACACATGTGCGAGCGGAAAAACAACTGCGAACGACATCTGTTGGAATTTCGCTACGGAATTATGCATACGAAGGTAGTTCGAAAAGTTCTCGGCTTGACACAGAGATAGCGCCAGGAATATCAACTTGCTATGATTTTTCTCAAGCTTGATCCTCCAGAGGGCCTACCGTAACGTTACAGACAGATATCTTCAGTCGTTTGCTTTTTGTTGTGATCGAGCAGAGCAAGCAAGATTTGGTGTTTCTCGAAAAATGGATAAAGTCGAGTATCGCGCAGTGATAAAGTACTTCGTTTTGAAAGGTTTAACGCCAATGGAAATAAAAGACGAGCTGGATTCCATTTTGGGCGACTCTTCACCATCGTTTTCAACAGTGAAGAAATGGGCTGCTGAATTCAAACATGGTCGTTCGTCCAGTTATGACGCTGAACGTTGAAGTCGCCCAAAAACCGCTACGACTGAGGAAATGATCGCAAAGATCCACAATGCCGTGTTAAATGATCGACGAGTGACAGTGCGTGAGCTTGCTGATATTGCAAAGATTTCAATAGATCGTGTCAACAACATCTTACACGAACATTTGCACATGAGAAAGCTTTCAGCGCGATGGCTGCCGCGTTTGCTAACGGTCGATCAAAATTTCGCGCATTCGCATGAATATTTCTCAGGAGTGCTTGGACATGTTTAAACGTAATTCAATCGAATTTCTTCGCGACGATTCATCACTGTTGATGAAACATGGATTCATCACTACACGCCAGAGACGAAATATAAAATAGTCCAAACAATGGGTGGAAGCGAGTGGAAGTGCTCCAAAGAAGGCAAAAACAGTTCCATCGGCCGGAAAGGTGATGGCGACTGTTTTTTGGGATTCGAAGGGTGTGGTGCTTATAGACTATTTACAAAAAAGCAAAACCATCAACAGAGAGTATTACGCAGCATTGCTGGGGCAACTGAACGATACTATTAAGTCCAAACGTCCTCATTTGGCAAAGAAAAAAATGCCTTTCCATCGTGACAACGCACCCGCTCACACATCTTCGATCGCAGTTGGAAAGCTCCATGAATCGCGCTTCGAATATTATACCGAAAGTATAAAAAAGTTAGAACATCGGTGGTCTAAGTGTATTGAGTTGAAAGGGGACTATGTAGAAAAATAAAAAAACATTTTGTCAAAAATCATATGTTTTCTTCGTCAGGCCGAGAACTTTCCGAACTAGACCCTCGTATAGACCCAATATTTCCGCCGGCGGGCGGTGCGTCTCCGGAAACGCGCGAGAGGAGACAAGCGCGAGCGAGTCAAGTCCGCAGATGGAAGCGATAGCGCGGACACTTATTTTAAGATGACTTTCGACCAAAGTCCCTCCAAGATAAATACGCGCACGCATATACAAACGCGCACGCGCGTGCGCGCGCGGAGCAGACGGCCGCCGCGTTTAACGGGCAGAAGTTTTAACAACGCCGTCTCGCCCTCAACGCGGCGATATTTCCCGCGCTAAAGCAAATACGCGACGTCGCGGCCGGGTGGAAATTCATTCTGCTAATTACCGTCGACCATTTGCTCCGAATTTATCGCGCCTCGCCGCCACCCCCTCCGTGCCTATCATCCGCGCTGGTTCCCATTTAATCGGAGGGGGAGGGCTCTATGGGCGACGCGGAATCTAAATTGGGGCCGGTCCGCCGGAGTCGTACGAGCTGACAAAAATTGAACGGGTAACTTTCTAATTAAAGCGTCGTCGTCGTCGTCGTCGTCGTCATGCGTGAGTCACGCTCTCGCCGCGCCTATCTTCGGAGCGAATTTTTCGCAATGTCGCTCCCACGAGCCCGACGCGTCGTCATCGTCGGGGAATCGACCCCCGGGAACGAGGGGATCCCGCCGCGATGAGCTGTCAAAAATGAGGACACACGGTTATCCCGAGCGCGCTCGCTGGAGACTGCCGGCGAACCGCGCTGACGGCCGTCTATTTCCGCTAGATTCTGTAATTCTGGTTACGGCTGCGCGAATGTTCCCTCGCGCTTTGATAGCTCCGATCGTTTTGAACGTTCGAGGGATTCGCTCATGTTTATTATCGGACATGAAAATCGTGAGCGCACATCATCGCCGCTCAATCCGCCGTTTTCTACTTGCGAGTCTTCACGGTGACGTAATTTTTATAACCGTCGGCACGTCGCGCCGTGCGCAGAGAAAAAGACTTCTGTGGTCACAACAAACATTTGCTGTTTAATAATTGTACGGGAAACAAATCAAACAGTCAATGTACATGTACGTGATTCTTTTCTATGAATCCATATTCTGAACTCTCATATATAGATAAAAGCATCTCTGGAAGTGATTTATAAGCTTTTTTTTAGTAGCTACGAACCACTTTTATAGATTTTTTATTGATTACAGTGCGTTTGCAGTACGAGCTTCCGTACGTATGTCCCCCTTAACTTTACTTAACCTTATCTAATAGTTTGTTAATTTTATACAGAGTGTCCGAGATTTTTCGGAAAAGAAAAATTGTGAAGATTAATTAAAGCAAACTGAAGAGAAAAGTCATGTACCATTTTGCAAAAATTGCAGTAGTTATTAACTTAATAAAGATTGAAAATGACCGCATCTAGAAGCTCTTTTGATTGACAACTTGAAAATTTGCATACTTATTTGTAAAATGGTAAAGGACCTTTTTGTTCAGAATGACCTAATCTACAATTATGTGACAGCTCGTGTCTAGCAATAGATATGAGTATATTGAACTTTGAACCTGTTGCTGGGCACAATAGCCGTCATATAATTGCAGATTAAGTAATTCTAAACAAAAAAGTCCTTTATCATTTTGCAAGTAAGTACGCAAATTTTCAAGTTATCAATTAAAAGAGCTTCTAGATGTAGTCATTTTCAGTCATTAATATTAGGTTGGTGCAAAAATAATTGCAGTTTTTACGTATCGAGTATAGACGCATATATCAGTTAGAAATTATATTTATTAATCAAAATAAAGACCGTGGGCCTGCACACATTTCTCCTAACGGGAAATAACCTCTCGAGTTGTTTTTCGTGGGTCCACTTCAATAATGGTTCTTAAGTCATTATTAAGTCTACAGTATAGGTGAGGAACGTCCACGACTCTTCTCATCTTCAAGGCTTTTGTTTCTATTCGCGAAACTTTTGGAATCAGTGTCGAGCTGGTTCAAGCAGTTTCTGTTGCTTTACATCCCAATTTAAACTTATACAACAAAATCGCGCGAATTTCCTTTCTTTCCCTGAAGTTCCCTGAAGTTTTATCTTTTTTTAACAGGTTATATCCAACAATACTAAAGAATGAAAATAATAGACATAAGCTGAAATTAGTAGTGCCAATTTCATTGTTTACATTGATGTATCACATGATTATAATGAAAAATAACGGTAACTAGAAAAACCGACGCCAAATTTAAAATGATAAAAACCGCAATTACTTTTGCACCAACCTAATAACTTGATAATCATTGCGATTTTTGCAAAATAGTACTTGGCTTTTTTCTCAATTTGATCTGATTAATTTTCACAATTTTTCATTTCCAAAAGATCCCGGACACCCGTATAATGTGTCATGCTAAAAATAAAGATTAATGTAATAATGCGTTCCTCTATTTCTTTCTCCGAATTCCTGCAAAACACACCCGCACAGAATTATTATTTTGTTAACCCTTCTCTACCAATGTTTAATTGGATGTAAAGGAGCCATATTTGAATTATCTGGTAATTATGATACGCGCTAGTGTAGCATCACATGTGTGCTTTTATCAAGTATTTTACGTATCTTATGTATTTTGCTATTGTATATTATACGTTTGCGAGCAAAAGTTAATACAACCGATTTGTTTATACATTTCCAACCTTTGCTCATAATGTGTATTGCCAACAAACTATTTATAATTTATAATTGGTTGTTGGATTAACACAACCATACTATTTGTTCCCATTATAAAATTATTGTTAGAACAATAAATCATAAGTAAGAAATCATTTGTTACTACAACTCAAGTCATATTTGCTGACCCATATTAACAAACTATTTGCTGCGGTTACTAGTGTTTTATTAACCCAGCAGGATCTTTTTTTCAGTGACGGTAGAAGCGGAAGCGTAAATGAGGGCAGATTTTCGTCCGACCGGTGTGTTGAAACTGCAGCTAATATCGCATGAAAAAGAAAATGCAACGAAAATGTGTCACAGCATGTCGCAACGTTGCTGCGGCGATTCGCTCGCTCGGACACTCCTCGTCATTCAAATGCAAGCGGAAAAATATATTTCGAGTCTGCTAGACGTATGTCTCTCCGCGGACGCGTTCCGACGTATTTGAATAAATTGTCTATTCTCCGCGAGCGATACATCTGGCGGGTCGGATGCTGTTTGACTGTAATCGGCAGCAGGGATCGTTTGGCACTCACAATCGTCGTTATGTCGTAAAATAGCATCCGAGGGCAATCCGCCCTTCCCGGGCGGCTCCCCTCATAAGGAATGCCTGGCGAATCGGCGACATGGCTCCCCTGGGCTGCGAGAGGGGTGGTTCCTCGCCAACGCGTGTAACCAGAGCGAAAGAATGTGTTTCGGTCGAATGGAACTTTAAATCACATCGAAATCCTGCAGTCAGCGCCATTATTCTCCAGCGTGTTCAACCCTTCCGTTGCTCCGCGACATTTCTCGCGGCGATATTTTCCGGGATCTTCGCCTTCGAACGACGAAGAGAGGACGTTATCGTCGCGTTGTCACACACATCGAAACACCCTTCCCCCCTCGCTCCGCCGTCGTCGTCGTCGTCATTTTCTTCGAGAGTAGGGACTCTCTTTTTCTTTCTTCTTACAAGCTACCGCGTCGGGATATTTCCGTGCCGTTCCCGATTAGAGCTAATGAAGGTAATTAAGTAA